CCCCCCCCCCCGCCATAAATGCTAATATAGAGCCATCTTGTACAGGCGCCAGGCTCCTCCCTTAAGCAGTTAAAAAGATGTTTATCTCTAAAGGTGTTTGTTCCCTTTGTCCCTTACCTTAAGGTGCATTTTGCACCTATTGTCTCTTGCATGCCTGATGGTCCCTTTGAAGCATTCCCCTTTAGGTTTTGGGATATTCAAGATTAGTACATTCCCCATTTGTTTGATGTGTATGTATAACAAGAGGCCTACATGCCTCAAAAGCTATATAAACCCACTGTTAAATAAACTCTTCTCCTGCTTCTTGCTTCTCCCAAGAATGGAGTCCAGTCCCCAAACCCCCTCTTTCTGTCTCCTTTAATTGCTCACATCACAAACCAGTTTTTAAAAATATGTTTGAAACTAATAGTTTTTACCAAGTCACATGCTATTTAAATGTTACAGCTTAACAAGCACTATCCTTGATGATCAATAATTCCAAAATTCTGCACTACAAATATCTACACCAATAACTCTTTATGTAGAATTGTTAAAAGATAAAATGTATAAAGCCAAGAAAGGCTGGGGGCCAAAAGGAAAATATGATTGAATAAATACCTTAATCAATTTTCCCAAAGTCTTCAACACAAACATCCAGAATCACAGATATAAAGAAAGAGGCATATCAGAGACAGTGTGGAGGCTGGGACCAGAGGATATGATAATTCAGTAAATACATTGTTTCGAAGGGAAATAAAGGTACCAAAAAATGGTTCTTAATTTGACAAAAAAGGAAAATGAGGCACAGAACATGTTAAAAATTGCAAACAAATATAAGACCATAGAAACATGCTAATACATCCTGAGGATAAATGATGACACAATCTAATGATATTGAGGAATATTAAAAATCAAAGGAAAACTCTGTGAATGAAAAAGGAGAGAGAATTATCTGGGTGACCCACCTGCCTATGTGGAGCCTATTTCAAAGGGCTACAGATTTCTCTGAACTTACATTTAATCCAGCAAAATAAAAACAGTTCTAATGCTGGCTCTCCTTTCAGCTACTGAGAAGTATAACTCAAACAAACAAACAAAAACAGGAAGGCTGGTTCTTGAAGCTGAGGTTATTCATTTGCAGACAGCCCAGCTTATTTGACTAGTGAAATAAACAACAACAACAAAAAATACCCCAAGCCATTGCCATCAAATCTATTTCAACTCATAATGATCCCATATAGGGAAGCTGGGCTATAAAGCTTTATAGGAGCAGAAACCCTCACTATTCTCCTTGGAGCAGCTGGTGTATTGGAACCACCACATTTTCCCCACAGGTAGTGAAAGTTGTGTCAGGATATATAGGAGGGCAGGAAAAATGAACTGCTACAAAATGGTAGCAACTTTTATTAAACAAACAAATCAAAATGGGATGCTATTGTTTCTTGACATATTCTCCATCCAGATCTATCCTCATATTCATCATATGGCATGTTGTTAATTTTTGACTCATAGCTATTCCATGTAACAAAATAGAACTGTCTGATATTTTAGGGTTTTGTTGACTGTAGCTTTCACAGGATCAGGTTATCCGATATTTTCTTGCACAGAACTGCTGAGTATGTGGATAGGTTAGCAGTTATCAGTTACGTACTTCACTGCCGTGCCCACTGGCTTCCTGATTCTTCATGCTTCAGGCCATAAACAAGTTTTTTGTTTTTCATTTAAAGGCATACCCCAAAAGATAGCAGCGTAGAATTTCCTTGACTCCCTTTGCCTTTTCACTAGACCTTGCTATCAGAATGTGTTATCTATTACTTTGAGTAAAGCATGGGTCATTTGAAAATAACGGAAAAATGCGTCTGATGCTTGACGCAGAGTACAGTATAAAATTAAAATAACCCAGGGAAAAAATAAGGTAGCCATATTTTAATGTGACCGTGGAACTGAGGAGTTAGCTGCTTTTTTATATTTGTGCATGTTTTTATAACTTGAGATAATACCATTTATTCCATTTCCTATGCTGATATTTTCCCTAAGTATTTTACAATAGTTCTCTCATATAACTAGTTTGTCTTATACTCAGGTTCCATTACAACCACCAAGATTTATGCCTATCCTCAAGCTATGATGACCAAAGCTCTCCTCTAAATAGTAACTTCCCAATAGACACAAAGAGAATTAATTTTAAAACTTCCCACAGTCAATATGGGAAGACCAGAGACTCACAAAAGACATAATGTTTGATAAAGTTGGGCTAGCAAACACACGAGAACCCTTCCTTAGGTGGAGTGACTTCGTGATTGCGACTATGTTGAATGGTGGGAAAGGATGAGAGTCAAGCTACCATAGTTTCCATCTCTTTGAAATAGAGTTGATGCCACCCTTCATTCTCCCAGACAACTCCATAAGTAACTCCCTCCCTGTGATCTTTGTGGCTACCAACTAAGTACCCAGATCTTTACATAAACTCCCAGAGGACTCACCTCACTGGAAACTTCTTTCACAATAATGAAGTTCTTCAGATCTTCAGAAATACAGTAATCACCGTTTATCTTGTAAGCAAAGAAAAAAAAAAGTCAAATCCTTAGAGCTCTCTGAAGATGCACTGCAGGGTGCTATATTTTGTGAAAGCTGAGAAAACAGCCAATTTAAAAAAAATCACGGAAAAAGCACTGGTTCGAATGATCTAAACTAAGGAGAAAGAGCTGTGCACTTAAAAAATAATTTTGAGCTCCACCGAGCAGCATTCTTAGGTTTCTATTTCACAAAGTCAAAGAGCGGTACAGTTTCCTGTCTATGAACAGCAATCTTACTCAGAAAGAGAAACTAGTGCAAAGTATTTCTTCTTCCTCTTTTTTTTTTTAAGTAATAAATAGAAGTGGCTGTAGGGAGTGTCAACCTTAGAACTTTATTGCCCACCGCATCTGTTTGAGTTAGGAGAAACACATAGCCCCAACAGGAGCCTTGGTAGGGCCATGGTTGAGAGCTCAGCGGTTAACCCTAAATTCAGTCACTCGAACTCACAGACTGCTCCACCGGAAAGTTGTGTCAGTCGTCAGCCATAAAGAGTGAAGCCATAAAAGCCCCGTGCCGCTCTGCATCACCTCTAATGAGCGGGTAATTTGTAATCAACAGGATGACAATGGGCTTTTAAAAATATATAACCCCCTGAATAAACCTCGCATTGCTAAAGAGGCCGCAGGAGTCACCAGCGAATCCTTCCTCTTTTCCTCTTCGTCACGTGGCAGTGCTCGGAAGATCTCTCAGAAGAAGCAGTGATTGCCCTTGCTGAGTGGACTCAGGTCTTCCATGAAAGTGCTTTTAGCATAACTTATTCCTGTTGGCGTTGGAAATGGGTGCGCTACACCCACAAATTAAAGAATGGTGGAAGTCATGAGAATCTGGTAGAGGGCAGGAATGGAGTCTCCTAGAGAGCCTCAGATGTGATGGATGTTACCTTGATAATGGCTGGTGAAGTTTATTTTAGACAAAAAACAAAAACAAAATTCACTGCCCTCAAGTTGATTCCAACTCATAAAGTCCCTGTAGGCCAGAATAGAACTGCCCCAATGAGTTTCTGAGACTGTTTACAGGAGTGGATAGCCCCATCATTCTCCCAAGAAGTGGCTGCTGGCTTCCAACTGTGGACCTTGTGGGTCATATTCCAATGTGTAGCCACTGCAGCACAGGCTCCTGATTTCAGACAAGTGGCCTCTAAAAGTGTGAGAAAATACATACCTTCTGTTTACATAACCAAGTTAGTAATGATTTGTTATGTCAAATATAAAAAACTAGGATACAGTTTTGTTGTAGAAAAGAATAATCCTTCAAAGCAATTAAAGAAACAAGCGGCCTATTCTTCTTTTCAACCAACTTTAGAAATAATACAAAATTATCTCAGCCTCAAAACATCACTTGAATGCCTTGGGTTCCTGATCTGGGTGGTAGATATGGTTGAGCAAAGAAACGAATTTCCTTGTGAAGAAAAACCAAAACCACACCAAAATGATGAGTGAAAGAATGAGAACCTTTTTTTTTCTAAAACTGATTGTGGTAATGATTGCACAACTCTACGCAATAAAACTGTTACACAAACACGCAAACGCACTGCCATCCAGGCAATGACCGTGGATAGTGATGCTGTAGGTCAGGGTAGAACTGTCCTGTCACTTTCTGAGACTGGAAGTTGAAAGCCGGGCCCTGCCTTTCTCCCTTGGTGGTGATTTTCAACTGTGGACCTTGCAGCTAACAGCCCAAGTGTAACCATGACACAACCAGACTCCCAGGAAAACAACAACAACAGAACAGGGGGCCTATCGATCAAGTGACTGGTTTCATGTCAGGGGAGCCAGCCCCTGACAAATCATCATGAGTCCAGTAGGCGCAATTGTACAGCGATGATAAGTAAATATTTTAGTAAAGTCATGGATAGTAGAGAGAGTAAAATGAAGGAGTCAGACACATTTCATGGTAGCATGCTCACCTCAGCTCCTCTTGGTGGTACAAGGCAGGAGAGAGAGAGATTTATTACTAACCAAGGCTTATATATCTTTTGGGGGTATGCAAGCCCCCTAATTACAGGTAAAGACATAAGTCACAGGAAAGGGTTATACTATAGTAATGGGAGGGGGACAATCTGGGGTACACATGCTATAGGAAGAGGAGGGATTAAAGGTATACATGTGACAAGGTGGGTGGATCCTAGATTCATGATAGTGGCCTAGCCTTGATTGCCCTGGAGCTGGAGACTTGATTTAGTCTATGCTTTCCTAACAGCAGGGAGAGAGCCCCACCTACTGTGGGAGAAAGAATGGTGTCTGCTTGCTCAGCATGGCTGGAGTCTTCAGGGAGATAACTTGACAACATTTACCATTAGTTGCAAGCAGTGTCCTAGATCTGACATATATATTTGGGAGAGTCGAGCTGGGGAGCAGTCTTTTTCTATCCCCCAGTTTCAATTTGTTCAATCTGCTTTCTTGGAGTCATCAGGATGGCTTCCAAATTCAGATTTGATTCTTGCCACTGTGAACCTAGTTTGGATTTATACAGCCATTATCAAGGTAACATCCATCACATCTGAGGCTCTCTAGGAGACTCCATTCCTGCCCTCTACCAGATTCTCATGGCTTCTACCATTCTTTAATTTGTGGATGTAGCGCACCCATTTCCAACGCCAACATCTCCTCCTCCATATTTATACATTGTCTTCTTTTCTGTCTGTGTGTCTTCTCTTACAAGAAAACATATTATGGCATTTGGACACACATAGATCATCCAGGACACATTCTCAATTTTAAGATTCTTAATCACTAATTTTCAAATAAACATTCACAGATTCCTGGGATTAGGACAAGGGGGTATATTTGTAAATCATTATTAGCCTGCCACTGTTCCTATTCCTAAACTAAAGAAAGAAAAATGTCCCCCATGGCTTGGGCTTTGTCAACTGTGCCAGCCTTATCATCTACTCCCCCTTCTCTCCATTTACACTTTCTCTCACCCCAGACATGTCATCATCATTCTCAGTATATACTTTTTGAAGCTAATATATATATAAAGGATATATATATATCCTTTTCTGCCCCATTTCTTCTTAGGAAGCTCACTTATTTTTACAAAGGCCAAGACTATGAAAGTCTAATTAAGCTCACATTAGATTTATTTTTTTCCCTCCCATGGGACATTCATAGTGATTTTATATCATTGCTGCCACACTTATTATTTTATGTTGTCATCATTTGTGTATGAGATTACAGAAAGAAAGAAAGAAAAAGCCCTCATCATTTTTTGTAGCTTTTACTCCTACCTATGAAGGTAGGGGAGAAAGATGAGCCATTTTGCTCCCCTCAAGAGTCAGTCTTGGAAACCTACACGGCCGTTCTACTCTGTGCTCTGGGGTTCTGATGAGCTGGAAGGGACTCGATGGCAGGGAAGCATAATGGTAAAGCAACTGGGAGAAATCAAGTAAGTTCATATATGTCGGCATGTAGCACATACTATAGGAATAAAACCTAACATTGTTTATTGTTATTACTATCAGCATCATGATTACATGTCTAATGGCTAAACTGATACCCTTACCCTTAACCATTAGACATGTAATTATGATGCTGACAGTAATAACAATAAACAATGTTAGGTTTTATTCTTATAGTAGCTACTACATGCCGACATATATGAACTTACTTGATTTCTCCCCGTTGCTTTACTGCTAGGTATTATTAATACTTTCAATTTTGCCAATGATGTAAGAGAGTTTTCCAAGATGAATGACATCATTCCCTGAGGACACTAGAATGATCCAGGGAATCTGTAAAAGCAGATACCTACACTTTATCCTGGCTTTTACTTGCCAGGTGGTCACTGAGTAATTATTTTTTTCTGAAAATGAGACAGCCGTCCAAATAAATTTGGGGATCAATGGTGTTAGCATTAAATTTCATAGATGCTAATTTGTGGAATTAGATTTCAAGTCCCATATTTGCTGTATGCTACACATCAGCTTGCTTTCTCTCTCTCTCTCTCTCTCTCAGCTATAAGGAAATGATGTTTATTTCCTAAAAAGGAAATGACTGATTTAAACTATTCTAAAATCAGAAACGAGAGCATAACTCCATTTTATTGGTTTGCTCTTTTGGTTTGTTTCTTGGGACATAGCGTTTCATTTACTCTCAAGTCCCCTACTTCTCCCTCACACTAGAGCACCTTTTTCTTGTGTGCTTATTTATTTGTTTAAGCAGGCATCTGGTTACTGAATTCTTGGTTCTCAATGCTGTCTCCTTGGGCATCAAAATAACAATCACATCATTTATCATAGTTCATAAAATTAGCATTTAAGAAAAAAACCTGTAGAATTAATCAATCTAAATTTATTTCATACTTTAAAAACTATTAATATTTTAGGCAAGGATGGTGTATTGCCTGCTTTAAGATGGAGCTAGTTAATGTCAGAGCTAAAATTAAAGCTCTGTGCTTCAGTCTTCCAACCGCCACCTCCATAGTGCCCCTATTGAATGTAGGAAAGGGATCTGGATCCGCATAGTTCAAGTGAACTTGAGGAGTCAGTGTCTCTTGATCAGGCCTGGGTAAGTGAATTCCTAAATGGGCTGTATCCTAGAGCTGCTTCATTAACATTTTAGTCTGCAATCCCAGGTTCCCAATTAGCATTAATTGAGGGAACCACTGGAGAAACCTGGCACTTCCCTAAAGCTCCCTGCTCTAGGACTCTTGTTAGGGGTGGTCTCTGCAGAGAAAATGGCGATAATTAGTGAAGTTGAGGCTGAGATTCATTAAGCAGACACAGTCCACCCCTGGGAACAGTTGCCTTGTATCTCTCTCTGGCTTCCTCAGTTCAATTAAGCAGTTTGTTTGCCTTCTCATTAGCAAACTTGTTAGTGCTTTACTCTGCTCCCTTGAGTTGCTTAGAGGAAAAGTTGTACAGGAGGATTCCCCCAGCTAGAGAAGTTTGCCTCTTATGCTTCCCTTTGGGCATACAGAGATTCAGGTCTTCCCAGCAGGCCATGCGTGGCCATGAGAGTTCAGCTACTGGACCCTGATTTCACCGCT